GCATACTCAGACTCTGCTGTCCCTCTGCAGGTAAGCAATAGGCACACGCCAATCCCCAAATACTCCAAGCGTCCCTGTGGAGTGTCCAGCCCCTGTTCTACTGGACATTCACAGAATTGACAAATCTGTTATTCCCAAAGGAGCAGTATGGCACAGCTTACCAGTTATACCTCAGATCACCACTCTGTTTAACACAGAGCAATTAGATAAGTTTATAGTGATAACAAGTAAAAGTTTATTTAACAAAATATAGAGATTTGAGTGACAGCAAGTAGAAGTATTGGAAAGAGGGTTACATATAAAATAGATCATAACACACATTCTAGAACCTAGATTTATTTAACTAGATACTTTTTTGTCTTATGGAGCAATGCTCAGCCGAATACCTTCTAGTGTCTTACAGCCAGACTTGGCTGTCATCTTCCCTTCATGAGATGCACATTGTCAGCTTGCCTCCTAATTGAAAGATGCAGAGTGTCTCTTGGTATCCATATATCAGGATAGTCCTTTGTTCTTTTTCATAAGCAGGACACCCACTGCTGATTATTTGTTTGTTTTTTTTTCCCCTGTAGCCTTCCTCTCTGTTGATTTTTGCAGTTTTTCAGTCAGCATCTGGCTCTGTATGCAAGTAGCCTTACATTGTGAGACATACAACACACAATGACCAAACGGGGATAAGTGTCTGCTACCTCCTGCTTGAAAGAAACCTGTTTAAGATAAGTTACCTCTTGGTTATCTGCCTTAACGCCAAGGTTTTGAGAACATAATTTTCTGTAAAAACAACAAGGAGTCTGGTGGCACCTTAAAGACTAACAGATTTATTTGGGCATAAACTTTCGTGGGTAAAAAACCTCACTTCTTCAGATGCATGGAGTGAAAGTTACAGATGCAGGCATTATATAATGACACATGAAGAGAAGGGAGTTACCTCACAAGTGGAGAACCAGCGTTGACAGGGCCAATTTGATCAGGGTGGATGTAGTCGACTCCCAGTAATAGATGAGGAGGGTACATTCACTCCCTTCTCTTAATGTGTTCCCCACCCCTGAACTATAGTGTAGACACTCACTACAGCAATAGGAAGGGTTCTCCCATCATTGTAGTTAATCCACCTCCCTGACAGGCAGTAGATAGATCAATGGAAGAATTCTTCAGTCGACTTAGCACTGCTTACATCAGGGGTTAGGTCGGCTTAACTGTGTCACTCAGCTGGAACGACCTAACATTTAGTATAGACCCGGCCTCAGAAATGATTATGACGATCAGTGGGCTACTGGCTCTTGATAGAGACCTTACCTGACATCCTTTGGTGAACTATTATACATATATCTGACCCAGGTGATTCCTAAAAAACTCTGTGAATCCCCTGTGCCCTCTGCCAGCTGGCATCAATAGGTTCCTGGGCCACACTCATTTAGGTTCTTTTGTCATACGTCTCTCACATTTGGGCCTTGGCAAACTGAGAGTTACAGATGTTGGGGGGGCGTGTCTGTGAGGGTCATTGGTGTCTCTGTGGGCTCCAAGTGACGGGGCATTGATATCTCTGTGTGTTTCAGTGTCTGTGGGGGCATCATATTGGGGGGTGTCAGTGTCCCTGGGGGCATCAACGTCTGCAGGGGGCTTGGAGTCCCTGAAGGCATGCATCAGGGGTGTTGGTTTTGCAGTGACAGTGTCTGTGAGGATGTCAGGAGTCTCAATATCTGTGTATGTGTCAGTGTCCCTCAGGGCACTAAAGGTGTCACTGTGGACATGTTAGTGTCAGTAGGGGGCTAGGGTTGCCAACAGTCCATATTATAAAGGGCGTTCCTTACATAAATAAAAAATTGCCTGTCCTGTACTAAATCCGTATGGGATGCTTTTTATCCTATATTTCAACCAGGGATGAGGATGCTGCTCCTCGAGCGATCTGAAACATCTCTCCAGCATCTGAAATCCAAAAGGGAGCAGTGTGCTGGCACTTTGACAACTTGACCTGGCACATGGGGTCACAATGCCACTCAAATATGGCCCTGATGCCCTGCTGAAAGTTGCCCCTCCCACTGAAATCTGAAATGGCACCCCTGCTGGTTGCAGTGATGCCTCCTCCAGCTGCTGCCTTCCTTCAGTGCACACCCCTTCTAACAGCCCCAACCCCTGGTGGCCCACAGTGCTGCAGCCGGCAGAGACCAGCAACTGCAGCCTCTGACTCCTATCCCCGCACCTGCATGGCACCTGAACAGTAGTTGCAGCGGCTGCCTGGCCCAGAGCCTGAGGTCCTGGTTTTCCTGCAGCACTCAGAACTGGAGAGGGAAAACCCCTAGGAAGGACAGGGGAGGAAAAAGGACTTACCCCCAGAGCCTTAATACAAGACTAGGAACGTGATGTTTGTGCCATATTTTTGAAATACAATAATGGCAACCCTTGTGGGAGCATCAGGGTGTCAGTGCCTGTGGGGACTGGGGTGTCAGTGTTGGTATGGTGCCTTGCATTTTGTGGGGCTGGAGCTGAGTGTGTCGGTGGCAATATCAGTGACTATGTGATGTCGTTGGGGGCGATTGCTGACTGAGGGGTGCTGGTTATTGAGGGGTGTCCTCAGGGCCGGCTTTAGCAAGTGCGGGGCCCAATTCCTGGGGCTGCACTTCCGATTGCCGGCTGGGGGAAGGGGAGCCGCGGGGCTTGCCGCGCTCCGGCCAGGGTCGCGGGGCCTGCCGCGCTCCGGCCGGCGCTCCGGCCAGGGTTGCGGGGCCGCGGGGCTTGCCGCGCTTCGGCCGGCGCTCCGGCTGGGGTCGCAGGGCTGCGGGACTGCCGCGGTCCGGCCGGGGTCGTGGGGCTGCCGCGGTCCGGCTGGGGTTGCGGGGCTGCCGCGGTCCGGCCGGGGTCGCGGGGCTGCGGGGCTGCCGCGCTCCGCCGGAGCTCCAGCTGGGGTCATGGGGCCACGGGGCTGCCGCGCTCCGGCTGGAGCTCCAGCCGGGAAGGCTGCAAAGCACATGTGCCTTCTCCCCTCTGCCCCCTTCCTGACCTGCAACAGCCCCCGCTGCCTCTGCCTCAGCCCTAGCCCTCTGCTGGCCAGCATCTCTGGTTGCCTAGCAGCAACAGCTGCTGCTTCCGGGAGAGCTTCAGGCAGGGACGCTGCCTGATCTGCGCAGGGACCTCTTAGGCGCGGGGACCAATTCGGGGAAATCCGTGGAATCGGCCTAAAACTGGCCCTGCAGGGGTTGGCAGGGCTGGAGACAGAGGAGTGCACGACTGGCTGGCTTCAGGCAGGGGGGTGCGACAGGGGTTGGCTGGAGACAGGGCAGGGGGTGCGGGGCTGGCTACAGGCAGGGGGTGCAGGGCTGGTACGGGCAGGGGTGCAGGGCTGGTGTGGGCAGGAGTGTGTGTGGGGCTGGCTGGCTTCGGGCAGGGCCGCAGGGTGTGCGGCAGGGGTTGGCTGGAGACAGGGCAGAGGGTGCGGCAAGGGTTGGCTGTGGGCAGGGAGTGCAGGGCTGGCTGCAGGCAGAGCAGGAGGTGCGGGGCTGGTGCGGGCAGGACAGGGGGTACAGGGCTGGTGCGGGCAGGGGGTGCATCAGGGGCAGACTGCGGGTAGGGGGTGCAGCAGAGGCAGCTGGAGCCCCAGCCCTTTAAATAGCCCCTGAGTCCCTGCTATCCCAGGGCTCTGGGGGCTATTTAAAGGGCCCAGGGCTCCCCTGCTTCTACCGCCCCGGCCCTTTAAATAGCCGAGGGAGCCCTGGGGAAACGGCGGGGCTCCAGCGGCTATTTAAAGGGCCGGGGCAGTAGAGGCAGCGGGAGCCCCGGACTTTTTAAATAGCCCCCAGAGCCCCGCAGCCCTACCCCAGGGCTCCAGCAGTGGGGCTCTGGTGGCAATTTAAAGGGCCTGGGGCTCCAGCCCCTGCTGGGAGCCCTAGACCCTTTAAATTGCCCCCTGTGGAAGCCGGGCCACGCAGGTACGCTATACTGAGGCTTGGGCACGGGTCCTGATTCAGGGTGTTGCCGGCACAGAGTGCCCGAGGACAGCAACAGCGGGGTCCGTTGCCCGGTGTGCGTCACGCCAATAAACACACCAGGGTGGAGAAGCAATCAAAGTTTATTTGAGATCTCAAAGTGGTGCAAGGAGACAGGCACGTCTCAAATCAAGCACACCAACATAAGCAGCCTTTATCTTTTATACATTTTGCAGCTAACCCTTTCCCTTCTTCCCCCGCCCTTTCTCACCCCCTCCTCCATTCCCACCTCTCCCCCTTTCTCCCTCTGGCTACATTACACGACCTTGGCTGTGCAGCTTGTTCTCACTGTTTCTTTCTGCAAGTAATCTTGTCCTTCAGCTAGAAGCATGTAGGTTTCCCTTATCACTACTGCTTCCCAGCTGCTGGCCTGTGAGGTTAGTAAAGTTTAACATGCAGGGGCT